CCAGCAAAATTTTGATAGTGGCAAACTCTTGGAGAAGTGGTTCTAAACTGCTGGTGACCAGAACAAATTCATATGTCAGTTGCTGGGAAATTCCCAGCATGTGCTCCACGCCCCCATCCTTCTTCCCACACCCCACAAACCTGTTTTTTTGCAGTTCACAACTGAAATATTCATAGGCAGAAAGACAGCATGCTGAATAGCATTATGAAAACAGAGTGCCTCCAGCCAGGTATATACCTCTCTACATTAATGCACAGGCCTTAATGCCAGGAGAACTAGAAGAGATGGTCATTATAAAGAGAAGTATTAAAGCAATACAGAGGAAATGCCTGAAAACCTTTACGGATGAGAGCCGTAGGTAAAATGAAACAGGCTCACTCCTTAAAAGGTGAAGCAGGGACAGATTCTCTCCCTGTGGTCTCATGGTAACAGTAGACCCGTGACTTTAACTGCTGCATAAAACCATCATTGTTAATACATTTCTCTTCTCAGGAAGAGTGCGGAATCACAAATCATCAGTCATCTTGAGACTGTCCTCAGGAGCTAGCAAAAGCTACAGATGAGATACATTTGCTGTCTCCATTTTGACTCTTAGTATCCAACTCCCTGCATTGCCATTGAATAAAAAAGTAAGACTGTGTTACTCCTACCGTAATAAAAGCTTCCAGCAGAGATGTGTTCTATGAAAGCAAAGGATGGAGCATTCACGTACCAGCTACTTTTGATGCTTATTTTGTTCCACAGTGGCATGTTTAGTCTGGAATCCAAACCCGCAGAAGGCTTCTCCATCCAGCTGTGTAAGCCAGCAACAATAGGACAGCAATGGAGGTGGCTAAATAGCACACTGGCATTGCAGTCCTGCCCTCACCCAACACAAGCACGTGTAGTAGAGCGAAAAAGTGATCATGCTAGGAATAAGGGGGTTTCATACAAAGGCCCAGGTAAACAAGACATCTTACAGTCATCAAAGATGTTTTATTTATGTTAGTTAAAAAACATAGCCAGACTTCCCAGACAAAGCAGATCTACAGTCAATTTACATCTAAATGCAAAGGAGATTTGATTGGAATAGAAGCACATTTGGAATCCAAATTAGCCTGCAGTATTTGGGAGGACTGAACAGCAATATCATGGCATGTTTTATCCAAAATTGCTGCTTTTCATTTCTTTCTTAAATTTCTGTAAGACTGTTTAAGAGTGGAAGGGGAGACAGAAGTGAGGCAAAACAATAACTGCTTTTCTATTTCTCCCATTTTCCAAGCATTTTGGAAGACAACCACTCTGGATAAGAACACCTTAAAGCCATTCTTTCAAAAAGAGAGCAAAGCTGACAGAGCAAGTAATCCATACCAGCTGAGCTTCAACTACCTTCACACTCAGTACCTGCATGCAGGAAATATCCAAATCTCTTCCCACTGTAGTATCACACTCAATCCCATTTAAGTGGCTTTACGTTTCATGACTCAGTCATTCCCTCAGCGATATTTAACCAGACTTTTTTTCCCCAATTCTCTTTCTAACAGTAGTCAATTATTATTCAGTAAGGAACTGAAAATGCAAATTCCTATGATGTTCAAAAACAAGGTAAGATTAAAATTCTGCTATATACATTTAAACTGAAAACTCCCAAAATACTAGAGCAGTGATGATGAAGCACTTACATTCTTGTTAAGGATACTTTAATACAAATTAAATGCTCATTTAATAAAAGCAGTTAGCACACAAACTTCATATACCATCTTGAGAATTCAACTTTTATGTATGGCATCCTTACTTATTACCAGGCTCAATATTGCCAAATGCCTTTACATGGCCATATTATGCAATAAACAGGGAGAACACAGCAATTACCCCATAGCATTTCGCATCTAGCACACTCCTTGGCTGGATTTTCACCAATGCAGATTAACCTCTCCCAAATGCTGCTCAGTATTGCCACGGGGATCACATGTGCCACAGGCTGCCCCTAAAAAACCAGCCTGGATGCAGCTACTCTGGTTGTAGAAGAGGAGAGCTTCAGAGTGGCAAGTCAAGCCATGCTATGGGTCAGAAATAGACCCTGTTCTGCTTTTAATACGCATGTACCATTTTTTACTATAGATGCTTATCCTAAATATTCTATACAACCTTTTGAATTCTGGAAAGATGAAACATGTCCATGAGCTGGTAGCACTCAGATACCAAGTCCTATTAACAGTAGGCAGGAAAAAAACCAAACAAACAGAACATGGACTCAAAACTAGTGCTTAATATAAGCCTTTAAAGAAAAAGTCACTAGATTCCTTAGGGATTACAAGCAAATAAGGGTTCCCCTATGGGAAAGGACCTACAAGAATCTGAGAAAGATTGAGTGCATATAGGATACTTGAAGAATTTCTAAAAGTAAGTCTATGGACAAACTAGAATAGTCTGAACTTCCAAAATTCCAAGACAGGAATAACCTCATGTGTAACTCCAAATCTCACCATGCAGTCCACTTTATCCTTACAGCTGTTACTTAACATATGAGCCTGATTTCTAGCAGAGAAAGACAAAACACATTAAGGTGCAGTATTCCATGCATACATTAAAAATTATTTTTTCGCAGTTGTTCCTCAAGTTTCAGATTTATCGGGTGTGTGGCAAATACTGCAACAATAGTACATACTTGAGCATTTTTGCAGTTGCTAGCTAATTACTGCGTTACCTTGTATTTTTCAAGGGATGCCATGCTCACATTGTCAGAGTAAACCAAGACTGCATATGCATAGTTTTTACCTCTGTATTGACAGCTGAAGTTCCAAATTTCATCACCATATTTCAGCTGCTCTAGAATCCCTCTGCAAACTAGCACTTGCTTTCTGAGTATCAGATGTGACAAGACAGAACTTGCCCATTCAAATTATATCTAAAGAATTGAATTGTGCAAATAATTAGAGTATAATACAAGAATGCAGTCAGGACATTTACACAATGATCAACTAATATTGCTAGAACTTTTGTCTTAACCACATTGCAAACAACCACATTGCAAAACTGTGTGTTTACATGTATAATTTTGTGTTAGTTTGAAGTGCAGGTCATTGCATATTTATGAAGCCTTAGTTAAAACAACAGCAAAGTAAAACCTAGACCTTTTGCCAATCCTATGACTTCTGCTATGCACCACATTTTTAGACATGGGATTTTGTTTTGAACATCTTCAGATGCTAGCCATATTAAAATCTCGCTATCCTGCAATCAAGTACACATGGGGCATTGGTACAGGGGTGGAAGGCAGTGGGGGCTGACGAATGTGGCAGACTTTTCAAGCTCATTTTCACAGAATCACAGAATGGTATGGGTTGGAAAGGCCTCTGAAGATCATGTGATCCAACCCCCCTGCCAAGGCAGGATCACCTAGGCCGGGTTGCACAGGAATGCATTCAGTCGGGTTTTGAAGGTCTCCAGAGGAGGAGACTCCACAACCTCTCTGGGCAGCCTGTTCCAGTGCTCCGTCACCCTCACAGTAAAGAAGTTTTTCCTCCTGTTGAGGTAGAACTTCCTGTGCTGCAGTTTATGCCCACTGCCCTTCATCCTACCACTGGGCACTACTGAATTTTAACACAAGATTATCAACTGAATTTATCCCTCTCTAACAGTTCTTTCAAAAACACATTTTAATTTGTCTGTCCTCTGAAGAGTTTCAATTTTTCCCACTCACTGATGAATCTAAAACCAGCAGCATTTCCAAAGCACGGAGAAAAATATTTAATGAAAAAACAGTAGATAGATATATAAATAAAAGACTCTGATACAAGCCACATAATCAAAAAAAAAGAAAGAGAGGGAATACTGAAACAGACAGCAAAACTTATATTTACATTATATTAAGAGAATAAATTTAATCAAATATAACATCTCACTTGGATTTTCAGGCAACCCTTCAGAAAGAGGGGTTTACAGTAAAGATGGAACCAGAGTAGAAATAAATTTTCTATTTTAGAAAGTAGTGGATATGACCCTTGTGTTGCAAAATGCTTTCAGAGATTACCCAAAACCAGACTGATTAAAAAGCTTCCCAAGTGCTGACTGTACATTGCTCTGTCAAAAGCAGTTCAAAAGCAAAGCCTGTATTTCCCCCAGCTTCATCATTCATGAGTTCACCAGCATCATTAATTTGCACAGAAGGAAGCAATTATTCTAGTTTTAACAATGAATTTTAGTTAAGTAGTAATCATACACCTAGGTGAATCCCTTTGCTCTGTCCAACACCTTTAAGTCCACGAAGAAACCTTCCCCATTGTTTCCATTTTAGAATGAAAGCTGAATTTTTAAGACATAAGCAATCTCGAGTCTCACATTCCTAGTGCAGTTGCAAACAAAACCTGCCATACTACAACCAGTTTTCTTTTTAAAGTAGATGCAGAAGAGTTTCTCTTAAAATAAGTTCTTCCTCACAGCTCCTAAACATAGTTTAGCGATGGAGGGAGAACTTGTATTAAATTCTCAACAACACATAAGTACGTTGAGATGCATTGAGAAAAATACTGGAAGATTTGCCAGTCTATGTATGGATATTCTCATGAAGTCAGAACACATGTATTTGAACCACAATCCCCTTTACAAAAGCCAACATCTTTCAGTGTTATTTGTGATCTCCATGGATCAGCAGCTATGTGGGCCACAAGAAGAGTTAAATATTTAAGAAGCCTCCACCAAATACCATTAGCCAAAAGCAGCTGAAACTTCAGCTGGATTAACTGTACAAGCCAGGGCAAACTGATGTAGCCCAGTACCTGCCCCATTATTTATGGACCCTTATTTTCCCCCTCACACTGAAGGCAACAGAGCTGTAGATCTTATGTACGGACGGAAGTTTTTTTTAAGCCCAGGACAACACACTGTAGGCATATGACACAGATAGCAGCAAAGTAACTTTCTGTCTGTTTGGGGGTTGGTTTTTGTGTGGGTTTTTTGTTTGTTTGTTTTGTTTTTTGAAAGCAAGAAAGTGCTTCAGAGCTCTGGAAAAGTGAGCAGGATCAGAACTCCTCATGGACATTACGTGCATAGTCCATAAGCTTGCTGCCTGTGAAGTATTCACTATATTTCAGGATCTCCTCCAGCTCTAAGTGATGGTTTTGATTTTCATCTGCTACTGCTATCATTTGCTTTGCTTCATTTAGGGCATTGTATTCATTCATAGGATCCATATATTCCTAAAATAAGAAAGAAAATAATTTTTAATCACTAAGCACATTTCCACACATCAGAATTATGAACCTTAGCTCTATGTAAGCTTCAGCAATTATGAGACCAACATAAGCTATCCCAAATTGAATATATAAGTCATGGAAAAAGGTATTAGCACATCTTTTTAACAGGATACATCCACCTCCTAGCTATTTTTCCATTCACTGCTTCCTTGGTTATTCTAACAGAAATCCAGATTTTCTCAGCTTATGCTAGTGTCTACAGTAAAAATATTTTTGACATTTTGGTTGCAAACTCAACTCACTATCAGATCTGGTGTTTTTTTGTGACGAAGTATCAATTCAAAATTAAGAAGTATCATACTATAGATCTGTATGACCTAAATTTTCTTGTTTCTGGAGATAATCTTCTTAGAACGTGTTCAATTTAGAACCTTCTTGTTCCACTTTAAACCACCAGGTAGACCTTATAGATGTCAGAAGTCTCAGAAACAAAGTATTTTGCTCCATCGCCTAACTTGAAATAGATTAAAAGTTTTCAAGCAGTGCACTTTAGTTCATGATGTAGAAGACTCAAGATTATCTTCAATTTCTTCCCAGAAGTTGTGACACATATGTGCTGTCCTGGTTTCAGCCAGGATAGAGCTGGTTTTCTTCACAGAAGCTAGTGTGAGGCTATGTTTTGGATTTGGGATGAAAAACTGTTGATAAGGTGCTGATGTTTTGGGTTGTTGCTAAGCAGTCAAGGACAGTCCAGCTTCTTCTGCTGGCCTGCCAGCGAGCAGGCTGGGGGTGCACGGGGAGCTGGGAAGGGACACAGCCAGGACAGCTGACCCAGGCTGGCCAAAGAGATATTCCCTACCATACGACGTCATGCCCAGTACATAAACTGGAGGTGGCCGGGGGGCAGAAATCGCTGCTTGGGGACGGGTTGTCGATCGCTGGGTGATGAGCAATCGCTGTATTGGGCAGCACTTGTTCTTGTACATTCCTTTTGTTGGTATTATTATTGTTATCATTGTTGTTTCCTTCTCTATTTCTGTCCTATTAAACTGTGTTTATCTCAACCCACAAGGTTTTTTTTCTAATTCTCTCCCCCATCCCACTGGGGGAGGGGGAGCGAGTGAGCGGCTGTGTGGTGCTTAGTTGGTGGCTGGGGCTAAACCACGACAGTCCTTTTTGGCGCCCATCGTGGGGCACGAGGCTTGAGATAATAACAGTTGCAGGTCACAATGATAGGAAAAGCCGACAAAGGATCAAAAAGCGATGTCGCTATGAACGCTCGGCCGCCACAAGCCAGTTATCCCTGTGGTAACTTTTCTGACACCTCCTGCTTAAAACCCAAAAAGCCAGAAGGATCGTGAGGCCCCGCTTTCACGGTCTGTATTCATACAAAATACACATGCATCCATGTGCTTATACAAAGACTTCACAGATAAAACAGCTATTTTTAAAAGAAAATTCTCAGTAAAAAGGCTATTAACATTGTCTATGCCACAATATAACCATTTATCCATACCACCACTATCATTCATACCCATACATTTGTATACTGAGAAGGTTAGGAACTTAAACATTCATCCTGTCTTGGAAGAGAGACCAACATTTTAAAGGTTCTCCTTTCACACTGCCTATGCTGCAGTTTGAATTCTGCTCAAAGTACATTCTTACATCCAGAAAGGAAAAAAAGCCAGAAATGAGCCATGCACCTCTTCCATTGGACACAAAACTGCCATAACTATAGGGTGCAAAATATTTCAAGTTGTTTGGTAGGCTCTTCTGCAGACAGAATTATTAGAAGAAAGCCTTACTTCTGGGAAAAAAAAAGTCCAAAAAGGCCACAAACTAGAATCCACACTTGAAAATAATAATTTATTTTTTTAAAAAAGAAAAACACTCTGAAAGACAAGGGATCTCTGCTATTTTATAGGCTACTGGGACTCCAGGGTTTGTTGGTCATTAGGGTTTTTGTTTGTTTGTTTTTTTAATGAATATATAGGTTGCCAGTTACTCCTTTTGCGACTGCAAGTATGACTCATTGTCCCATTAACCAGTGCACCTAATGAAGTCTGTGACTTGCTTTCAGATACTCCATATCCATACAAGTGTCTATGTGACAAAAAACCCTAAAAGCATACCTATGAATAACAGTTATGCTAGGAAACCTCCCTCTCCTCTTTAACAAAAAGCATAACAACACTATCTCCAAGCTCTATAGAACGATACTATAATCCAAAGTTTTGTAAAGTAGACACGCACACTGTACTGTTAATTCAAATATTTCTGGACTTCACATTCTCTAAAGCAGTTTCAATTCTGTATTTAAAAAACAACTATTGGTTTTAAAAACACTAGAACTATTTGAGGAAGACTTACCTCCAGCTCTTCCATTGTGACAATACCATCATGGTTAGCATCAATGACCTCCTCAAACTCCTTCCTTCTGTCTTTTACCCAGTCATCATCAATATCTTGAGCTTGCTGGTTCTCGACAGTACCAACAGGTAATGAAATAAACTCTGAAAGGGTAAGTTTCTTATCTCCATCTTGATCTACAACAGATGTATATAGCAACTGAAACATATTTGATTTGCTTAATGCCCATTAAAAATTAGAAATTCTTTTATATCAGAGATGTCATTGGTACAGTCTGCCTGGTTTCAGCAGTCCACAACCATGACTCTAGCAGAGAAGTATAGTTACCATTTATATCTTTGTTATGGTACAAACACAATGTTTTAGAGGGCTAAAAATCATACACATCAATATACTAAACAAAAAGAATTTTTCTGGACCTGAAGGACACACCAGGTGGCAAGCAATTGTTTTTGTTTTGTTTTTGTTTATTTTTTCAACAATCTACTAAAATAAGACATTTTTCTTACAGCTGTGATCTAGTCCCCATTGTATTAGCATGCAGGTAAATTAATCGTCATAAAAGACTGCATACTGAAGTTGTCCTGACTCTGCTTATTACGCACTCAAGCATCACTGGAAACCCTTCATATTTAAGCTAACAATTAGCAAAGTCATAGTTGGTTTTTTTTTTTCATAAAGAGATGTTCTAGCAGTTTTAAATATGCATCGCTATTGACTCAATAGAAAAACAGTATGTGGGACAATACTTATGAATTAAAAAAAACTATTATTTTCTTAGAAACCTCAACCATTTATTTCCACTATCATGACCACACATGACAATCCTTACATAGTTGCTGTACTGGGGAAGTACAAAGCAATTAATGCCCTCCTCATGGAACATTCACATCAATATATTTTATAATAATTTACTATTCATGAAACCTTTTCTACTATTGCTAAAGTGACCCTACAATGCAGCAGCACTTCAGTGTGAAGTAGTGTCAGCTGATCTTCTTTGTATGAAGTACTCAGAATATCTTTCTAACACATAACGTTGTGCTGTTCTTTAATAACTAGAGACTAAATTTAGCCTTGAGAGATGCACAGACAACTTCATAGAGATGCCAGCATTTGTGGTAACAGGTAATTTTTCCTACTCATCACATTAGAAGATGTGTAGAACCCTGCAAACAAGATGTGCCAAAATTTCAGATTGACACATGGCAGTGCAATGACGTAACAACGTGTGCCCAATAAAATGGTTTGCAAGGAAACAACTCCCAAGAAATGTATTTTAAAATGGCATACCCAAATCTCGGATGATTTCTTTCACCATGAACTTCAGCATTCCCCTACTATGCTCCGGATGAAGAAAGGACAAGAATTCTTCTTCATTCAACAACAGATCAGGAGGTGGGTTGTCAGCTTGGTACCACCGATCCTTCAGGTTATCTAAAACTTCCTGTGCTAGAAATTTAAGAAAAAGATTTAAGCTCTCATGTTCATTCCATTTAAAGTTCTTAAAATATACCTTCCCCTATTGCTCAATTGTTTAAACAAGGATGACCTATGAATCAGTTATTTTACAGTTCAACTCCCAGGGAAAGCGGGTGCTGAGGGGAAACAAAGTGCAATTAGTTTCATCTAGTTTGTGCTGAAACACTAAGAAAGATCCTTTAACCAAACAACTGCACTGAAATTGGGAGATGAAAATAAAGATTTTGCTCCACCTGTACTTCAACATATCAAGTGAAAAGTATTGTCCTACCAGTATTGTTAGCTGGTGCTAGTAGAAGGTATGAATAATCCAAATTTGTTCAGTACTTGTTCTCCTTTCTTATTTCCGTATTTTGAGGCCTCCTACCAACAGAATTCTTTCACCTGCCTGGATACCAGTAGTACCTTTCTTCTAAACAAATAATTTTTGTTTTCTACTTCAAACCAGTCCTGTGCATTGAAATAGCCAAAACATTCTTCAAATTCAAAATACTCTTCAGATTCACTATCTCCATGTATTGCAATTGTGACAACACACAGTTAATATCTACAAAAAAGGAAGATCTCAATCAACTCTTTTCCTATCCAAATAATAACCAAAGAACAACAAACCCTTTAACATTTAGTGTGTTTTCTTCTAAGACTAAATAACATGACTATCATTAAATCTAGGAAGATGCTTCTGATTTGTGAAGCACCACTGTCCTAGTGCTGTGGCTAATAGCACCACACAGGTTTATTCTACTATACAGGACTTGTTAAATCTATCACAGGTAAAAAAATTATTTGCCAACACAGCAGTTCCAAGCATGATCAAAAGGGAGACGTTTTATTACTACAACATTACAACACTGAAATTTTCTTATTTCAACCTGGTATTTCTTAACATAACATTATCTAAACCAAAATGAGTTGTATTACCACTTTGAGCTCCTTTTAGGTATGTTCACAGTCATGGGATTTGGTTAACAAAATGGCACAGTGATCTACCACGAAGTGATGATCAAATTATGCATATTGCACACAATTTTAAGTGCAGAGTTGTTTTCTCCAGCCGCACAATTCCAGATAGCACCCTCACCCTCCATAAAACTACATATGTGAATTAAGCTTAAAAATTCTATTAAGCAGGTTATAAGAAAAAACAAAGCCTAGTTTTCACAGCAATCAACAATACATTTCAATGGACAGCTGTTCTTTACAGAGTATGTAACGGAAAAGGCAGCGTAAGCAAAGCCATAAAGCAGAGGACTAGGAAAGCTATGAAGAGACTTCTCCCCTGCCCCTGCTCCTCCCATCTTCCTTTACCTTGTCAAAAGCTCAGAATTTAAAAGGATCGCCTACCCAGAGAGATCTTATAATCCTTAGACTCCGATATATCGTCCAGCATTTCAGCCTAAAAATTTGATCTGTTGTAACTATGAAAGATTTCAGAGGGTAGTTCTGCAAAAAAAAAATCTGGAGACATCAAGAACAGATGCTAAGCTAAGCACTAAGAAGTGCACTTAGTTTTCAGTTTCTTAAGGATACAAGTACTTATTATTCCTTTTAGCTACCTTGCCTATGCTATATCAGAAAGCATTCTGACTTCAGACCTAAACCCTGCATACGTTTTAGTGATCACTATAATTTAATAATGGGAAATACTTTTGCTGCAAAGAGCAAAACCAAACTGAAGTACACACGTATGAACAGACACATCAGCAAAGTCACTTTACATTTCCAATTCTTCAATTTCATCTTACACCATGCAGTCAAGCACTTTTTAAGTGAATTTCTCCTAAACTCAGCTGAGAACCGTAATTTGTACATCAGTTTCCACTAAAACCATGCATCTGATTTGAAGAAAAAACCACCCTGCAACACACAACATGAATATTACGTGCTCCTAGTGGTCCTCAACATAACCAAACAGGAAGAAAATACCTGTACAGAGTATTCTTTTTCTGCTGTAGGCATTTTCTAAATGACACACTGGAAAAAATACTGTTTGTAGCACACCCTGCTATCTGCAAAATACACTAACAAACACAAATCTGAAGTATTTGCTTTTCACAAGTTTTATAAACAGTGAAAGACTACAGTCTTCAGATAATAAACATTTTTTATTTAATAAACAGTCTTAAATAGCTCCTGCATGCTTTTGGTTGCTGAGTTACAAGAGGAAAAACAAAACCCCAACAGTTACATCTGCATTTAACTGCTAGTTGCAATTAAGAGTTAAGTCTTCGGCGAATGTTTTTTTTGTGAAGAGTAAAGAAGTCCTTCAGACTCTTAATATGAATCTTAGTGCAAGTTTGTAAATGGCAAGTTTTAGATATATCAAGGACATAAGTAAACACAGAACAATCAAATCACTTCCTTATGGTTTTTCCAGTGTAGCCAACCCCCAATGTTAGAAGTCACAAGTCAGCCTCCCTCTGCCTACCTTGCTTATTCAGTCTTAAATGAAACTCAGCTGCCCGTTATTGGTTGAAACTGTTATTATCTGCATAAGTTAAATAAAGTAGTGCCCCTAGTTTTGGCATGGCATCCAAACTGTAGTGTGCTTCTGTGCAAGGCTCTGAACATGCCTTAAGATCCACACATTGTTATTTTTTATTATACAGACCAAAAAAGAGTAGTTTTACACTGCACTAGAGTATGAAAATAGGTTTGCCTATCATCCTCAGGAAGCGGTAGATCACTAATTTGATTTTCCCAAACAAGGCTTGTTACCTAGGTAGAAAAATGATTATGTACACACTTCCCTTATTCAGCAAATCTTTTATCTGATGAGCATTCCTGTAAACTGTAGTTAACCACACTGCCATAGAACACGCTGCACAGGTGTTTTCCCTGCCATAAAATTCAAAGGCCCATTTGCATTTTAGTTGCTTTTTGATAAATGGAAAATATAACATAACCCACTTTTAAATGACTAATGCCTGCAAGGAAAAGCTAAGTCTTTGTCTTTTACTTAATAGTAAATTTAAACACTTTTTGATGGGCGAAGCAGTGAGATTACTCTAAGAGTTACTATGTTTATTCCAAGCCAGATTCAAATGAAAGTTTCAAAAGTAATAAGGAAGAAACGATCAATCTCACTAACCTAAAGAATCAACCTCTCTATAGAGAACTTAGATGAAACATGAACAACTGTTAGGCAACCTTTTGCTATTAACTTCTAGTATGCTTTGCAGTGCCTAAGCATGTACCTATTTAAACACAACACTGTTAGCACATACACCCCTCCTCAATTTTAGAACAGGAATCATGTATAGCAGCTCCCTTCCATCTGGAGCTAGAGGACCTCATTCCTGTATTAACAATACAACAGTCCACAGACAGCAGAGGTCTGACAAATTTTAGCAGACTGTTAAACATAAATAACTGAAAATTATTCAAATAGGTAGTAACAAATAAGCAACCAAGAGTTTTCAGTGTTAAATATTTACATCAAGAGTGTTAAGAAGGCAGATTCGAGTTGGAAAGAAATCTAGTATGTGTCTTACGACTTACATGTTCTACATTTGTGTGGAAGCAGAGGAACAACTAAAAAATTCACCTTATATTAAGAACAGTTTTGACGTTCAGGTTTTAGGAAAGTAAAAGAAAAACCGACACACACCATTAGTCTGCACTTACTTTCTTCATCTATTTTCAACTCTTCATTGTTTCTGATCTTCTCTGCAATCTCTTTTTCATTAAAGCCCTTACTTGCCAAAAATTTAATTTTATATTCATCCCAGGACACATGGCCTGTAAGAAAGAGCCATATCTCAGACATGACATAGTATGCTTAAATGATGAACTTTTGGTCTCATTACTTAAAACAGCAGGTGCTAAAATCTTTTGGTTCAGCACTATAACTATCACACTAGGCTTTATGAATGGCAATATGAAAAGTATGACCTGATTCACTTTTATGTTTCTTTAGATCAGACAGGCCTTGTGAAAACAACCTATTTATTTCGCTGTCCTTGCCCCATCCCTGGCAGAGCCACTTAACTTGTTACAACTTTCTATGACTACAAGTGAAATAACATCGCAGTCAACAAAGAACTACAACCCTGACTGGAGCACATTACTTCTTTCCTCTATTGTCTTCTGTATGGATCAAAACTGTTGTGATTACATGCAGTCCAAAGGAAGTTGGATTTTGTCACAGCACATCTGAAGGGCAGCCAGTAGTTTTGGCTACTAGTGACTGACTTAAGATGTCATCAGGAAACAGAAGAATCTTTCATCTTACCATCACCATCAGGGTCCACAGCTCGGAAATGCATTTTATTTTCTTCCACAGCTTCCTGGAAATGTTCATCTGTCTTTTCCATGATCCAGCGCTGCATCTCTTTTGCACCTATCTTTTTATCATTATTTATATCCACCCTATGGATGAATAGCAAACAAAATTTAGATTTGGGGATTGGGCGGGTAGAGGGAAGGTGTGCTATATTTTTAGATTCTAGATTAGTCACTTTAGTTGTACATTCTTTGAACTACAGACTATACAAGTAGCAAGTCAGCCATTTATTTCATAATTAAATTTAAGTAACTACAATATCTAGGTTACTATCCAGTGAAGAATATTCAGCCATACTTCACTTTGCTGTAACTTAGCTCATTTCAATATTATGTTTTTGGGTAAATTTTTCAAGTAGAGGAAACCACAAATACATTACTCATGGTATATTAGCTAATTTCCTATTGGTTCAGAATTGTCAACTGCCAGCTGCTACAGACTTTCACTGCTTTGAAAAATTTCTGCACTAACATTCTCTCAAACCATTAACTCCCTCTCAATTTATCTTTTGAAGTCCTTTTTACCTTGATGTTCCAAGATTTCTGATGTTTACTGATGGGCTGCCTCCCCGTATATGCCTAGATCACATCACAGCTATTGTGACCATTAAAAACAACGAAAATATAATGTGAATAACCTTTGTGCAGGGACTTTCAAACTATTTAGTATTTTGACTGTAGTACATGGAAAAAAAATCCAAACCAAGTTTCCTCTATTATACCTTGATCTCTGGTAACACATTACATCTGACAGTTTTTAATTCTTAACACATCTAAAAGTTCTGTGCATACATTTGTTCTCCATTAGGTTTCTGAGTCCTCAGGCTCACTTTGGTTTGTCAAAGGATATGCTTGTATTCAGTGCTATTGAGCCACAGAACTAAACTTTTCCTACCTTACTAAAATGATCAGTAAACGTCCCATCTGACAATCCACTGTTCTCCTTAATGTACTACCAATACTGCTTTGTTGTATTGCCATACCCTGAATGCCATTAATGCTGATTTCATTAAAAAGAAGTTAATATAAAAATTACAGTTGAAGAACAAATACAAAAACAGTAACAGGCCATTTTAAGGTTTTTGTGAGCATATCATTAAGTATTTATTCAAAAAAAGATATAACAATAGATAAAACTGAAAAAACATCACTAACATTTAAGAGGCAAGATTCTATCTAAAGCATACCAAAACCACTCTTGTTCAATTAAAAATAAAATTAAAAAACCACATAGAAAAACACAACAAAAAAACCCAGCTTGACTCTTTTTTATCTGTTTGCATCGCTGTCTTAACAGTACTGAAGTGTTACTGAAACTCAAGTTATTAAATATGTGATTTACCTTTAAATGTCAACTAAATGTTAAAAGCTTAAGTCAAATAACAACCCTAGTACCTAATCTTCTACAACACTTACCTGTATTAATAAATGCAGTATTAGTGGTTTTAAATATTGTATCGCATCTTTCCACGTCTATATGCACAGGCTCGCTATTAGCAACTTTTCAGTATCAACGGCAAGACCAGTAAAACTGTCACGTTCCACTCGCACCACCTTGCACTTACCAGGTGAACAAATGTGGGTTTTGATATGGAATAGGTGCTATCAAAAATAAGAAGGGAAAACAAAGCATTTTCCCCTCAACATTTAACATTCTAGTTTCCTTAGATCAAAGCTATCAAACATACTAGTTCCAAGCTGTACTTTCCATCTAAATCACATTGTAACTAGGGAGATAGGTAAAAACGATCCTATTTATATAAGCTCTTTTAGCTCATGAGAGTACACCTTTGTTCTGCTACCACAGTTCACAAGAAGCCTCCAATGACTCAGATTTTAATGAGCTAACAGGCATCCACCATACAAGGTGAGCTGAAATCCTTTCAGTGTCCATAAACAGCACTTCTGCTTTTGAGAGGAACATTTACAAGTGTATGAAATAGAAGATACGGTCCTGATGCAAGGTTACCATCTAAGGAGATAAAAACAAAAGACTGTCCATGCTTCCCTAGGTACTATCTTATTCAGAATGAACTACTGAAAATATTTCCACTAATAATGACAAGCTTAGGTAATTACGTGTTGCCAAACAACCTAATACTGGTAAATCATGGAAAACCAATTTTATAACACAGTGATGGGCAATCAGTTCTCTGAGGCAGACAGGCCTGAGCACTCAGAAGATATTAGTAAAGAGTGGTACATGCTAATGCACTCCTTAAAAAAATTGCTGAAGAACAAGTACCGGCAAGAAAGAATTTAAGTTCAAGAAAACCAGATGAATGCAAGCAAGAATATCATCCCAGATTACAATTTTGCTCAAACCTTCCTTGGCAATCAGTGTATAGAAATCTCGTGATGATCTCTCAAACTTCATGACATACCAGCTCCAAAGTAAAAAAAAAAAAAAAAAAAAAAAATCTTGATTGGTCCTCTTCTACAAGAAACATAGTTTTCTGCTAGAATTTGCTATCTCAAATTTGTAGAAACATAGGTATATGATGTACTGTTTCCTGAATTGACAGCAAAGAAATTTTTTGTCAAAGCAGGAATTATTCATTAGAATACATTTGAATGAAAAAACAAACTACAGAGAGCAACTTACCTTATTGCTTATCTGTCTCAGTCCAAAGAAAATTATAGATAAACCACAGCTCAGACAGTAGTTGATGCAACATAACTACCATTAGTATTAATACATTTCATTAATGGGTAGCATCAGACGTAACAGCTCCTTAAAATGTCTAAGTTCAAGGTTAACACTTCACTGACTATTCAAACTATATTTCATTATCTATTCAGAGTCTAAAAGTTAATACTACCTTTCAGTAAGAAACGGGGAAGTATGCTACTTTGTAGGACAAAGCCTAGAAGAACAGGTTTTAAACACTTCAGCCGAGTTTCTCAACCACAAGCCATTAAAAATCAGATTTTTGTGGCCACCTTTCAAAACATCCACATCTGAAAGTACTACCAATAAACATTGGCCACTCAGGTTTTCAGATTCACGTTTTCAGGTTCCTGAATGAGAACACTGCAATGCTGGCTGAGGTATTAGGGGGAGCAGGAAGGCAGTGTTCTTACCTAAAGGACTAAAGATAACTCCCTTGTAGAGCACCTAACACTTTAAACTTTAAAGTTGGTTTCTATTCCATTCAGATAATAAAAAGCAGATCCAGAAAATAATTTTAATAACAGAAACCAAAGCAAAGCTCTACTTCATGTGGTAGGAGGTATGCAAAAGTTATTAGATGCAAATTTAAATGTAGGTTAGGAAAAACATGAATCAGGGTGCACATACTACTTAAAACCTTCCAACAGCATACAGCATAAACAGTTTTTTAACTGAATAATACAAATCTGTAATCTAAACCAAAGATATCAAAACGGAAAAGCTTAAAATGTCCCCTCTCCTCATTCTTTATTCTATGGGCTATTGTCCAACATCAGCTCTCATTACTAGCATCTTCCCATCATAGCCAGAACGCATAGCAGTAGAAATTAATACTGTGTTAGGCTATGAGACAAACCTGAAATTAAGAAAGGGGGCATGGATCTTGCCTCTATGTGCGGGCTGAACACAGTCACAGCTGAAAAGTCTAAGAGAGCTACACTTACAAGCACTGTGGGATTCAGAACAAATTCTGCTTCAGGAAAGGGTAAGTTCATGACTTTTAAACAAGGGACAAAAACCAAACAGAAAAACCCTCTGTACATGGTAGTAGTTAACAGAAGGTCTATTTAAGCCTGTGACCTCATGAATGACCATCAAGGTAAGGCACTCAACTGACACAAAGATTTTCATTTTTAAATCACTAGGGCTGCTGCTAAGTAGCTGAAAACATCAGCAAAATGCAAATGCTAGAAGGATACTCAACTTTCAAACTCACAGAGGTAACTCCATCATCACAAAAATACCCTGACAAAGCCACACACATTACATTCTGAATTTATCAGTTTTGTTCAGTACATGTAATTTAATTTACGAGATAACTGACCCTTAGAAGGAAGGCTCAAACTGAGTTATAGTATACAATGCTGTTGATTTAGTAAAATCGGCGTCACCATAAATACACTTGACTGCTTTCAATATCCTTCCTCGTTCCCTCCCATCAACACCCACCTACACAAGCTAAACTACACCATATAGCAGAAGAATTTTCTATAGATTCCAGGCTAATTAAAACTATTTAAATTGAGAGTACAGCAAATGGTGGGGTTTTTGCAATTATGAGAAGTACCAGAAGAAAGCACATCAAGTAAGCCCCTCTCTCAGATTTTCCTGACCTGAAAATACCTGAACACTTACTGTTGGCAGAGAATGAAGACTAAAAAGATGCACCCAGGATTTTCTGCACCATGCCCTATTTTCACAGGACAAAGTGGAGGTACTAGTTAACTTGCAATAAACCACTTCTGTAGACAAGCAAGGCTTGTCCTCCCAGTAAAGAGTGACTTCAGAAACTGAAATAAAGAATTATGAAATGCCACTTGTTCTTTCAGTCACATACAGCTTGCCAGCCTAGAAAAACATGGTTTGGGGAGCTTTTCTTCCATGTTTCAACTTAGACAACTATTTATGCTTTCAGTTGACTACTTTGTATTATACTGGTACACTGCAGAACCTCAGCCATCATTAATTAAAAACACATTGTGTGGTTTCTTTATGCCTTCAAATAAAATATTCCAAAGCATCTGGAAGCCTGTGACTTAGTAGCTTTTCACAGAAGTTCACAGTATTTCTCTTTTCACTCAGCCTTTACGAGTAAGTCTAGAAAGCAACCAAATTCCTCAGAATGTTTTTCTACACTTCTAATCTGATCATCTGAAAGAATGTAATTTTAAGTAAGCATCTGAGTGAAGTTGATGTTGAATTGAATTGCTTCAAGCTTACTAAGACAACCTGTTTCATAACAAACAGGCAGAAATTAATGAAGTTTGCAATTTGTGAATGACAATTTACTAACCACCAGTTGAATGTTTCCAACAACCACATAGCAATAAAGAAAATGAAACCTTCTAAGCACAATCTTAATATTTGTATATATCCTACCAATGAAGTGAGTGGTCTGAATAGCAGACACAGTAATAAAGGATTCTACTCTAAACAAAAAAGGCACTCTAGTTTGCCTATTTGCTTTAGCTACCTTTACTCAGAAGAGTACCAGAAACACCACAAAAAACAATTCCAACATTATTATTGATATTTTTTCCCTGTTAACAAAGTTTGCAGAAAAAAAAAAGCTTTCTCAAGTCTTCTCATTTTATTGCAAGTATATGTGCATCCCCACACCATCATCAGCATTAAGAGCACCAATGTAATTTCAGCTGTTCTAATAAAATTAATCCTCCATTGCAAAAATGCAAATAAATCAAATTCTGCCACCTAGTGTCTAAAATTATACACTGATTTTGATTTCCATTATGTTCACTGTCCTCCGAACATCCAACAGCTTATTGGCTGATGCAAACCTTATCTAGCACAAGTAGTACTTTATAAAAAGAAAAATGCTAAAGCATTTTAAACATTAAAATGTCTAAAAGTAAAGTTAATATTTTTACACCAAGTAGAGAGCTAGATGAAGTTTACAAAAAGGTTAGAAAAGAAAAATTTAATCTTTCTATTCTCATGTTTCATTCTCATTCTCTTTTTCTAAATTCTAGGGAGCTAAAAGTTTTGTTAACAAGACTGCTAACTTAATGAAGAAAGCTGTCATGTCAACTTCTGAATTCTTGGTACACGCAGCTAGGCATAATTATCTTTAACTTTCATGTATTTCATTTGAAACACTCAAATTTTAGACACTTAGTGTCTACTAGAAAGTTTTATAAACAGAAAGCAACTGTTAGTTTCTTTACCACAATCTTAACCCATTGTTTGTCTGCCCCTTTTCTTCCCTTCTGGCTTTACTATTGTCTTTTCAGTGTTTTTCCTCTGCAGTTATTTGCAGAAGTCACAATGGAAACAAAACCAAAATCCATATGGAATATCAGACTAAGCAGTAAATAAGAAACTTAGATTGCCAATCAAAAACAAACTTACAGCAAAGCAATAGTACTGCTAGAGGAAAACTGCAACAAACTTGCACCCTCCCACTTCATTGCACGGGCATCCTACCACTAAGGAAGCCTTTCCTTACTAATTCCTTGATCTAAGATACAAGTATGATTGATTATTCACTGAGCCAGGAAACCAGGAAAAAGTAATACTAATTTTCATACCTTGAGAGGCTCTGTAGTTTTTTTTCACATAGAAACAGTAAATTTTGTCATAAATTTTACTAGACCACAGCACCAATCCTGTATATTGATCATGACTCTCAACACATGCATCCTCACTCCTGAGTATAGTTTATACAGGTATCTTAATACCTGAAATAACATGAACACGGTGATTACAGTATGATGCTTTCCCCCTCACCATTACGATTTTCAATTATTACAGAAAAATTTGCAAGTTTTACTCTGAAGATCAGAGAAAGAGGCTGCACTGTTCTTGGCAATGTACATAACTTACTTTGAAAAGATGACCATGAGCTTCTTCCTATTTTTTCTGGGTTCTGAATCTTCCTCAAATTCTTCCATCTCTTTTCCTAGAAAAACTTCTTGATGAAATTCTTTGTTAAGGTGTCCATCCATCTCCATTTTGACCCCATTCAAGTGATCTGGGGGCAAGATCTCATTCTCATCTTTACTGTCAGCTGGCTTTTCTTTGAGAGCCGAGTTATTTGCAGGCCTTGCATAAACATCCATTAGAAGAAATACAAACAGAAGGGACAAATACAGAGATCCCAAACTGCAGAGAAAGGCCTGTCTTGACATCATTTTTTCCATTTTATTCAAAGTATTTGGCTGATTAAATTACTGTGAATAGATTAAATGATCTAAAAACAAAAAGGAAAAAAAAACACACGCAAATTAAACTCTAGAATATTGTGACACTAATAAAACATCTCCTAAAATTTGGAAGAACCTACACACACCCACAAGTATTTGCAGTGAAAGAATAAAAAAGCCTGTTAAATAATAAATACATGACAAGAAATTAATCTGTGTCAGTTTTCAGACTGCATAATTGTAACCTCTGTCAGAGGACTTTGGAAGATAACATCTTTTAAATGGCCTAGTTCTGCTCTGAAAACCGTCTTCGGGTGTTATAGCATGAGCTGACCTGACAACTAAAACCCAAGCATTTACTGAGAAGTCAATCGAGCACACGAAACACTTGTCCAAACGTGCAACCCAAGCTCAGCTGTGGCAATGCCCCCAACACTAGCACTGCACTTACCAGCAAGCTGCAGAAACAGCCATGACAGCGCTACAGTTTACCAGAGATCTGAACAAACCAACTCTTTACAAAGGCTGAAAGACATAAAGGTCTTTTGGGAAAAGATGTCTGAGGGAAATACAATTACACATAAAGCTGAGCTGGAACCATACACGAAACAGCCTGCAGGAAAAGCAACACCGACCCTTCATGACCCGCTTGCTGGTGCGTGAAAATCGCTGCCACGTAGGAGTTGGCAGACCGCAGCCTGATAGGCAGAGGGTGGAGGAGCACAATATCCACAGACCTGCGAGGCACAGCAGAGCCTTGAGCAGGGAGCACCCGCCAAGCCCACGGCGGGAGTCACAGACTGGAGGGGGGGAGCTCGGCCGGGGCCGCCCCGCCCGACTCGAAGGGCAGTGGCGGTCCCGACCCGGCCCCAGGAAAGGCCGCACGCACTCACCGAGAGCTCCGGGGCGCTGGCGGTGCCCCTTCCTTGCAGGAGGGGTACGTGAACCTCCGAGAACCGTGACAAGCCGCGGGGAGGCCAGCCTCGGCCTCGCAGCCCCTCGCCCCGCTCCCTGTGCAGGCCGCGC